CCAACTTCAAGTCATAAAGCAAAATCCCTGGCCATATTGGAGAAAACACCTGGACCGTAGGCATTGTCCCCACAGCAGGTGGCATGTTTATAGTAAAAGAAGTGGACAGTCTGGTTGGAAATCACGGGAAGGTGACAAAATTGAGCACTACATATGTCAGAATCGATATATGAAGCCCCAGCATACTCTGTAAATTATCCTTTCAGTGGTATCCTTTCACATTGTCTGGCAGTAAATATACAAATGGATTCAGGTGACTGAGGCTGACAGGCTCCTTTCTATAGTCTAAGACTCAGCCCCTCTGTCCTCTTCTTTCAACACAATCTGCTTTGAAAGGAAACAATCCCAGAAAAGCAAAATAATATTCCCAAAGCATAACATCCATTTACAGAACTAGTCTGATTCCTAAACCTAGCGCTGTGCATCAAGGGTCACACATGATCTCTGTAAACAAACAAATAAATAAAACACAAAATAAAATTGTAAGTGCTGCATAATAAGGACAACGTCTGTACAATTTGCAAAATATTACAGTATAACACTCTCAGATAAGTGAAGGCTTCTTCCCTTAGAAGCTTCCCAGACACCAATAAGGCAGGTGAAGGGTTGTGAATTATTCACAGCTGCTCTTACGGTTTTGCTACTTGAATCCAACCTGGGATACGGCAGATTGATAAGGGCATAAGCTGAAACAAGAGAGACTGGTTATAAAGAGAAACTTTTTCATGATGAGGACAGTCAGGCAGTGGAACAAGTCACTCAGAGAAGCTGTGCAGTCTCCATCCTTAGGGGTTTTAAAGATCTGACTGAAGAAAGTCCTGAGAAAATCAGTTTGACCTTGTACCTGACCCTGCTTTGATCAGAGGGTTGGACTGGAGACCTCTTGAGATCTCTTCTGATTTGAATGATCCTGTGATCATAACACTATAGAATGAGCCATCTAAAAGTAAAGAAACTGGGGAATTTCTGAGTTTTTTGTAAGATTTTTGTGCTTGGTAGCAACTAGAAAATATGAATGAGACAAAAAGCCAAGTCTGTGAGTCTAGTTTGAAGCACAGTCTTCTTGTCCTTGGTGCCTCTTGCAACCAAAACATGTTTCAGAGAAACCCTCATTAACATCAGGAGCAACATATAACATAAGGCTACATTCTCTTGTTTTAAGATTGTATTTCAAAATTCTGTTTCCAATTTTGGAATCCAGAACTTTCCCCTTGTTTGAACAAAATTGGCTCTTCTGATTTTCAAAACATTGTAATGTTTCTGAACTCAGTGGACAAATAAACTTAGTGAACTTAGTGAACTCAGAGAACAAATAAATTAGGGCTACTTTTAGGTCCCTTTTGACTGCAACCAATTCAGATTTGGAAATCTGGAGAGTTGGTTGGTGTTTACTTGGATGAGGTTTACTTGCAGGCTATAAGAGTCAGTTTCTATTCTATTCTACAACATGATGTGAATGAATTTCAGATAATTCCACATCTCTGAATACACATCACGTATGCATGAATACGTTCTGAACTGACGGTTTGTGTTTGACTCGATGTCATCTGGACTGCCTGTCTTTTCCATAGATGACCTGATGGTCTTAATTTGCCTGGTGTGAGCCCACAATATCTTCAGAGAGGTCAGCAGAGCTATTGACAATAGTCAGTGCGCAAGAAAACCTAAGTCCTCATCTTAGTAAAATGCTACAATAACAAATACACTTATTGTTCCACTTGAAGATATTTGGTGGGAAAACGGCTTGTTGCAGATACAAGAATTGAATGTAATGTCTTACTCTTTTAACAGCTTTTCTTAGAGTTGATCAAATAATTTTTCATAGAACAATCTGTAAAAATGCTTTATTTACTTCAACTTTTCCATCTTGCAGTTTTGAAACTTTTAGTTCAGGATATGTTTGCTTTTGAATTATTATTATGTTTCAGTTATTATATTACATCATACAACATCACATCAATGAATATCCCCTATGATATTTTGATCTTACCTAAGTGGAATTTCTCAAAGACTATCTTAATGCCTCCTAATCAAATGTTTGGAAAATGTACTTTCACAAAAATACGCTGAGATTTTAACTTTTCATCCTAACTCAGAGCAAAACATGTCTGAATACATTGGATAGTACCTTTTTCCTAACCAGCAATTTATTATTGTGGAACATTCACAGTCAGTCAATAACATCATTTTCTACACTTTTTTCCTTCTTCTACTTTGGAATTTGCCCTGGGTGCTAAAGCATAAGTCAATTACGGTGCCCAGATGTAACTCTTTGATTTCCCTGGGAAACTGAAATGGCAGGAAAAATGTCAGAGTTCAGGGAAAGAAAACCAATATAACACACTATTGTTTTGTCTGTAGAGATTTTGTATTATCTCAACAGCAGTTATCACAGAATCACATTATGCTTTCTACCAGCTTTATCTGAAAACTGTACAAGCAGAGATAATTTTGTTGCTAGTTGGGATGATATTAAATTGAAATGAAGGTAAAAACAAATTAATTTTTGTCTGTAATGGTTGTGCATGGTACCAAATGCAACAAGACATTACCAGATTTGTTTTTGTTGATGTCAGTAGTATATCGTTTGCATAGATTAAGTATTTTCTACCAAATTCTATGTTAATAACACAAGAACTCTGTCCTTATTCAAGTGTTTAATGCTGGAAGAACCTGTCTGTGCTATCTTTGAGTAACATGTGTCAAGATCCTTGCTACCTCAGGGAAGGATGATGGGGAACAGATCACAGATCTACGACTTTAGTATGGAAAATAATGAAACAAAATGGCAAATGATTCTTCTTGCCATGGTTAGTAGATTTTCTTATGTTGGAAGGAACTCCAATCTTCCCGGAAAATATACCAAGATAAGGCTGTTTCTATCTTTGTGTCTTCTCTGAAGCATATTATGTCTATGATTCTCTCCTTCAGGCTCCATAAAGCCAGTAAGATATTGACAAATTGGATGGCTGACAGATTGGAGGAATTCATAAAAGGGAATTCAGAATCAAAACGCAAGCCTTGGGGGAAATGATTTATGAACATAAAGAAATTTATACTTTGACTTAATGCTGACTAACAAGAAATATGAAATGCAAATGAACAACATCCCATTAAAGGCACGTGGCTGTCATGAAAAAAGCCAGCAGGAGAGCTCTTTCTCCAAAGAGGCAGCAGACAGCCCCAGCTGTCTAGCAGACCTAGCTGGGGTTTGGATGTGTTCTTCCCTCCACTATTGCCGCACAGGCTCAGTAGCCATGATTTTGAAAATTATGACTCCAATGGATGACTTGTCGCAGTCTTCCCAAATGGCATGGGGTTCAGCACTGTCCTGCATAAAGCTGTTTCATTGGTCTATGTATAGCAATGAGATTGTATTGGCTCTACTATGTTTTTTAAAGCAGATTCAGGCCTGGGCCTAAAGGATGAAAAAGCTATGTCCTGGCAGAATTACAAATGGGATGACAGGCAAAAACCATGCTAAATGGAAGAAATCTGAACAGGGAGACTGAGGTGGGTGCAGTTTCCCTTTACAATGAGGAGGAGTGGTTAAAGTAACAATTCTTGACACCTATAACTAGGCTTCTTCCAAAAAACATGTTTTTTTTCTTGTCATCCTCATGCTTGGAAAGAGCTTCTTTAGGTAAAATAATACACTTTTCTTAAATATGTTGCCTCCTCCAGTCAAGAAATCCAGCTGCAACAAGGCAATTGGCATGTCAAGTCTAGTGTGCTTCTCGTACATCTCACAGTCAATCTCACTGTTCCTTTTATTCTTCTGTCTTTGTACTGAACGCGTCTCCTGTGGTCTTTAGGGTTCACATTATGTTCTGTGTTTGTACAACACTATGTTTGTGCAGCATGTAAAAAAATTAAAGTCTCATCTATTATTCAAGGTCCTAAAGTAATGCAAAAAATAACTAACCAACATAGACGAACCAAAAAAAGAAGTTTATCCAGGGAACAGTTACCTTTCAAACAAAGGTGGAAAAGACTTTTATGTCAACTTCTCTACTCCTAATTTCTAGAGCTGATTGCTAACTTTTTTCACATCAAAAAGGAGGAGGCAAAAACTACAGGAAACAAAATTTCCCTGTGTGGAATTCTCAGCTGTATTTAGGTTCTGCGGTTTGAAAAGACCCAGTAGATAACCCTGTCTCTATCTTGCTGCCTTGCAATATTCACAAATGTCCCTATTGAATCTAGCTAATGTAATTGTTGAAAGGAACCAGTAGGACAATCCTGGATGAATTATACATGTCTTTCCCCTCCGAGCTTATCCCCTCATTTCTAAACGCAACGCTCTGCTCCATGCATCTGAGTGAGAATGAAGTTTATGGCAGCATCTCTACTGCTGACATTCTCATAAATACTGTGAGGTGCCTGAACTGAGGTATGCAGGCAAAATAAAAAAGGCCATTTATGCAACATTTTCATGAACAAGCTAAGAGTTATGCGTGGTGTGCATCCTTTATTTAAGTTTTAACAGGACAGAATATCAAATTTTGCCCCTGCTGGTAGGTGTGTTCCCATGGTTAGATCAGAGCAGAATGAAAACTATGCATTCTCTAGGCTTCTTTTGACTGGCAAGAAATGAGCTGAGATTTGTTTTTCTGTCAGTCTGAAATAAGGTTTATTGTGGCCTTGTACAGCCAGAACTCAGTGTTTTCAGCTCTAAAAATAACAATTAATAAATAAAACAACTTTTTATTGATAACTAACCCTCCTCTTCTATTAGGAAATGCAAAACAGCCAGGTCTGCATTTTGTCCTGTAAACAAAGCAATGTAGGGAGCACGTTTTTATGAATAAATTTTGACTTTGGCTATCAATATTTTTTGTGTGAACTTTCTTGAAGTGTAAATATTTAATGCTTCCTTTTTCTATATTACTGTTTTTCTGTGTAGGAGTGAAGGGATCCTTCAACATTGTGGACTAGGTAAATAATGTATTACTTAGTCATGAAAAATGCTAGAGGAAAATAAATACAGGATATCTTACCTTTGGTCATCACAATTCCTGCAAGAGTTTTGTGGCGTGCATGCATGGAAGTAAAATTGTCTGTCAACTCCTGGAACTTCTGTGTAACCATTTGGTACATGGAGTCGGCAAAATCCTGAAAGACACAGTCAGAAAGAATTCTTTCACTGTCTTTGACTGAGGTACCTGGGCATTTCTGCAGATTAGTCACCTGCTGTCAGCTTCTGAGAGATCCCTTTTAGAATGAGACACCACCTACCTGAGCAAAACTAAAAGGAATATTTCTTTGTCGACCAATCACATCCAGCTTAGAAATGCTTGGTGTTAGGTTCTAAGGCTAGTCTATTGCATTAAAGCCAAGATTCATATAGACTAGGGTTAGCAGTACAGGGAGAAGATTTCAACATTGACTTTTCTTCAGCCTTGCAGTTACTGGTCCAGAACCAGTTAACAGAAAATGTGTTAGTTCTCAAAGCATTTTACTGTAATCAGCTGAAGATGTGTACCTGTGTCCCACCAAACCATTTAACAATAAGAGAAATGGGCTAAGAATCACCAGACTCAAGGATTACTCTTTTTCACGATTTTTATTGTTAATGAACATTAAGGAGAGAGAACTTTTACACTAATCTTTTGAAGCCTGAGAGCTTAGCTGAGGCCTGGGTTACAGGTAGGGTGACAAAGGAACACCTATATCTGCATTCATGGTGAGTTTTTGATAACTCACTGCTACTGAAGGCAAATGATCAGCTCGTGAACAGTGGTTATGTTTAACATTGTCAGAAGTATACCATGACCTGCGTTATTTCCACCCTGACAGCCATCAAGAAGATAGGAACATCTGCTTGCACCGAGGATGGTGTTTACACAAGTACACTGGTGTCCGGTAGTGCCGCATGGACTGGTATGTCAGGTCTCCTCCTGAGCTGGGGTGAGCACAACAGCTATCTTGAAAGGTCAAATTTTCCTGCAGATTGGGCTCTAAAGACTGTGTGGTCTGAATCCTTAGGTCTGAGTGAGCCTAGAGAGTTTAGCTGGCAATGCCACTGTTAGGAAGCAGGGTAGCAAAGTAAGTAGGCTAAATGGGCTAAAGAGTAAATGCTGCAGACCACTTATGGAGGAATGTGAACCTCAATCAGCTCTGGGCTCCTCAGAACGTCGCTGCTTGGACGGTTTCCCTGAAAGAACGTTTAGTATCTTTTCATTTACTTAAGCTCTGCACTTTGGTTTGCACAGAACCATTCAAGCATATGTTAGAGATAAGTCAGGGGAATGCTATTTGTGAGCGTGAGTTATTCTTAATGTGTTTTGCAAGTCTGAGCATACATAATTAAGATCCAGAAGATTTTTTTTTTGTTTGTGCTAGCTGATTATTTATGTGAAACCAAACAACCTACAAATCCTTTCGGGAGCAGTTCCTGAGGGCTAGTGCTTACTTTTGGACCCTGGACTGAAATCTCTTTCGCATCCTGCAATCTGGCTAGCTCCAAGCGGATGGGCTCTCATTAGGAATAGTGGCTTGACTAAGCAATGCTTCCCCTTTCCTCTACTGGTGTTGGGCTAAACTCAGCTCTGGGGAAGTCCCTGTAAAACAGGCCCTCTTGAATTCACACAGTTTCTCTGTGTGGGTTCACTGTACACATGGGTGAGGAGCTGGATATGATATTCGCTTTGCCTCACCCTGAAAGAGCCACGGCCATGCACAAGTAAGGAAATGTATTTAGAAAGATCAAATCCTTTCTCCCCCCCTCCTCCCCCTCCCCGGACTGTTAATGGGGATGAAAACACATTGGTGAAAACACAGTATTTTAAATTGGGAAAACACACAGCTGTTTTTCAGATGAAAGCAGATTCTAACCCGCAAATATTATCAGTAATACTACTGTCATAGAGAGACTCTGCAGGCTGTACACCATATGTTTCTACAGTTTGCTACAGGAAGTCTGTTTAATTTTTAAGCATTATTATAGAAAATATAAAAGGCTAATTAAATAAAACATATCAATAATTAGGCAACCCCCTTTTAATAAAAACTTGGAATATTTTTGCATGGACAATCACTGCAAGCGGCTGTAACTTTCTCAAGTATATAGAGGACAGGATTTTTTCTGACATGTTCATTTTTCTTTGTTTTACTAAGTGCAGCTTTCCAAGATGTTGCTCTGGGAACCACCCATTTGCCCAAAAGAAGGAAGATGGTTTAATATAACATGGAATAAAATATGCTGGCTTGCTGCAAAAGAACGAAAGAGGTATTTAAACTCATTCTACGATGTGCATGTGAAGTTGCGCACTAGAATTAGATGAAAAGTGAGAAAAATTATCAAGAATGGTTTGACAGTTTTTAAATGGAATTTTACCTTGACTGCGTTTATACCTCTTCTAATCTAATTGCCCACAACAACCATGTGAGTAAGGCATTGTTCATACAGCGCTTCTAAAGGCAGAATTTTGGGTCAATTCTCATTTGTCAAGCATCAAGGCACCCTTGTGATATAAATGCAATTATAGCCATTCTACAGATGAATGAATGAAGGCAGCAAAACGATGAGGGAACGGTCCAAGGCAACAGTGCAGAGCTAGAGACAGCCAGGTGTTCTGATTTCTTGATGCTCCGACTAAATGTTAAACACTGGAACACAGGCTGTCTTTCATAATATGAAACTTTGGTTCTAAACTTGTTTTCCCTACTGAAGAATGACTTCATCCATAAAGGAAAATTATATTTGTAGACTTGTGTAACCAGGTTCCATATGGTGAGCTAAAAATTTGATCAGCTTTATTTAGACTAGAAAGAAAGAAAAAAAGTGTATCTCAATAAAACTATCTGCACCATCATTTAAAAAAAGAATCAAATCACAAATTTCATCTCCCGCAGTATTACAGTCCAATCCATGCCTGCTTTTCTAGAGTATCCTCCAAATCTGCATCCCAGAGCATTTTGTGCTCATTAAGAGTTAATTAGCCTAGAGGCACATACAATTCCTAAAAGAATCATTTTAAAAATGTTAAAGAGAACAAATAACTTTTAACTCTAGATTTAGAAATCCCCACAGTAAGAGCTTTCTTTACTTCATTTGGCATTAGGTTCCAAAGTCAGAGAGCAAAGAGACTCACTAAAGGCAAAGTAACGACATGACTTCAGATAACACTTAGGGACGATAAGGAATTCAGCATTCACTGATCTCAAGGAGTGACCTGGGACAATAAAGAATAGCAAATCCATTAAACGTGAAGTCTCTAAGCTAAAATAAGTCAGGCGAATATTTTTGTCCGGAATTCATTGCCTGACAGGATGCCAATGAAATTAATAGAAAAAATGGAGTGAAATACATGAATATGTAGGATGCAGGATGCAGGAAAAACAATTAAAACCATAGTGTCAGATCTGAAAGGTCATTTAAGGGCTATCGTGTTACCTTTGAACATTACAAAGTACCGTGCAAAGGAGGGAAAAGAACAGTCTACTTTTGCAAGTGGAAAAAAATAAGGAGTAATGAGATGCAAGGCTCAGCCCAGTCAGGGGTTTGATACTCTCAGCATTGATGCATATAGTGCAGCCTAACTGCAGAGTCCTGAATAATCAAGCCCTGAAAGTTGGCCTGGAGGCAGAGTCTGGCATAGGGCTAGTTTCTGGATTTAGGTCTGTATTGGTACAAGAAGTGCAGCATGCTGCCTTTCCCTCCACTACACACTGGAACAGCTACTTGACTTGATCCAGTCACATGTGTTGAAATCAGTGGCAGCATTTCTACCTGTTTCGAGATATTAGTCTAATAAAACCAAAAGTGATTGCAAATATATTTAATGCCTGCAGGGCAGATATGGTGGAGATTAAGAGCCGGTACACCTATCCCTGCTCAGTTTATAACCAGAGATTTCATTCCACGGATTTTCTTGCTTTATGATTAACCAGTAGACTTGGGCTACTAAGAGATACATATCCAGATGCTGTAGGTGATCGTTCCTAATGGCTGATATAAGCCAGAAGAATACAACTCTCAGTGGTCATCAAGAACCTGGTTGAAGTCTTCATAAGGGTCTTTTGGCACATAGCCTAGACCATGTTAGCTGCAATCAGAAATAACTTAAAAATCATGCAGAAAAGGAACCACTCTTTTCTCTGAGAAAGTTTGTATTTGGTGATGCCACGGTTCCTAGTGTCAGGCATAAGTAAAAATAAAAGTTTCCATCTGGAGCAAATACAAGAGCCAAATACATCTTGGCAGCTTCTGAACAACTATGTGGTTAGTAGCAGAAAAGGGAATATTTCAGAAGATAGGGAGAAAAAAAAGAAAGTGGAAACATTCTTTGTGAAACAGAACTCCAGCGCAACTAATAAAAGTGCATGCAATCGCACTGAACACATAATGGCAGAGAAATAGCAGACTGGGGCAGGGAGTCAGGGAAGAAGAAAGTAGAAAGATGTGGACAGTCAGAACTTTGAAAATTTATGAAAAGACACCAGAAGATACAAGTTCGAACACCGTCAGAGCGCCAGGACTAAGGGGGACTCATAGTTAGTGGTAAATCTCCTTAGAAGTTCAGGGTCTGATCTAAACCTTCCCTGAAATCCGTGGAAGTATATCTGACTCAAGAGTGCTTCAGATAAGGCTCCACCTGCAACGATGTATTAGATACCTGCTCACCTTTGAGGGCTGGCTGCCAGGGGAAGCTTTGTGGGACCACAGGAAGGATGGTTTACCAGTAACTCCACACAGTAAATGTGGAGCAATCTGAGGCATCTTATCCCTCCATGAAATAGATTTTTCTGCTCCTGCACTGGGGCTTGTGATTTGACCCCCAGTAGCAATACTGCATCAGCCAGCTTCAACTGCAGTTGCTGTCCCTCATATCCCAGGCTGCGGTGAACAGCCATGCAGAGAACCAGACTGAGACCCTGAATGGGCTGGAAAATGCTCACAAAAAAAGGCAGTTCTTCAGCTGGATCAGCTCCCAGCTTGTTGCCACGAAAGGCAGCCACATGACAGCAGAAATGAGGTGCGGAGGGCAGCAAGCCCTTGACCTGGCAGTGCCAGGGAGACCTCGGTCCTGCTGGCTTTGGATGTGTGTGTGGGCACCTCGCTTGCTGGGAGGAAAGAGTACAGCTCTCTGGAAGAGCTGAACTTCTGAGTG